CAGCAGGAAAAGGAGCATTTTGAAAAGAGAGAGAAGAGGAAGGTGAAGATCAAGATTGTTATTTCTGCCTTCATAGCCTTGCTTGCCTCAGCAAGACAGAGAAACATGAAGCTTGATTTATCAGCACATTCAGTCAAGCTACTGAAGAGCAAGCCTGGGATAAAAGCTAACCAGTAAAACTACTGAAACATCTATTGAACTAAAAGCCACTTAAGAACAGCACAACACGAGGGAGGAGGCAGTAACCCCAACGCTTATCTTGAGGTCAATGCTATATAACAGGCCAAATTTTAGAGCTATATAAGTGAATTTTTATGCTTCTGCAAGATTTCTCTGCTACTTGAGCAGTGCAGAACAACTATGATCAATGCAATATATTTCAGTCTTTTCCTGCACCAAATATTCCAAGATGAATCCTACATTCCATCATAGTCTCTGTATGTCCAAATCATTCACGATTTACCACTTAGTAGGTTCAACTGCACTGCCATTTAATCAATTTGACTTTATTTCTGAAATAGATGATACAGCCTTGCCTAGAGGGGATGGCTTTTCTGCAGTCTTCTGCTGGGTAACTGCTGCAGCAACCTGAACACTGCTTTATTCTTTACTGAGGCCCTAAGAGATAGGCCCTCTGGGACAGCTGATCATCAAACACTGTAGCTGGTCATTTCTGTACTTCCTTTTTCTTTTTCTCTTTGTGATGTTCTCTCCAACTTCTCAATGGCCATTTGTCAGATGGCTTCAAACTCCTATCTGACATTTAAGAGGCCGATCTGGAGGTGTTTTGAAGGTAGAAGGGGATCGATGCTAAGAGGACCTACTTCTGATGTGCTTATTCCTGTCAGTAGCTATAACAAACCAGTACAACCTTTTCTCAGTAGTTGTAACAAAACTCAGTGTTGTTAGAGAGCTATAGATCCCTCCTGCTTTGAGCTCATTTAGCAACTTTTGACTTGCAGAATAGATCTGGTCTGTGGTCAGCCTCTGGGGTACACATCTTCATGTTATGATCAAAAGCAGAGTTCTACAGAAATTGGAACTTGCCTTATGTGGAGGCTCTTTGTGAAAATATGTCACTTCTCCTTTGTCTGTTCCCATTAAAGCCAGGAGATATTGAATTTTTTTTCTATCCTCCAGTTCCCTGGAATTCAAAGAAAGTGGTCAGCACATCACTATTCTTAAGTACATCAAGACACTGTAACACACTGCTCTTCTAGTTTACTTGTTAATGCTTACAAGTTTTCCAAACAGTTGCATTTTGAGAATATTGCTTTAAGAAAAACCTCCCAAAGACATTACTGATATTGCTGATGCAGTAAGAACACCAGCAAGTCCACTGGCATTGGGGAGCAGTCCTCTTCTCAAATAGGACAATTCTACATAGGCTAATACAGCAATAACATATGGTGAGAAAGAATTTGCATTTCAGAGTTATGAACTATCTAAAATCCTCTCAGATACTTCATTCAACAGATTATAAAAGTGTCCATTGCTTTTAAAACAAACTACACTAAGGGCAGTATCAGACTTTTAACAAACTCTTGCAAACTGCCAAATCACTCCAACACACATTCTGACTTAAGACATTAATAGAAAACTTGGTATTAGCACCCACAAATGTTCTGAAGAAGGCTGGAAACTCCTTTGCCACTGGCAGCTAGTCTGATACAACAGGTTATTTTCCAGTTCACCAACTAAATGGCATTAAAAAGGAGTAGCTGTCAACATGATCTCAGAGTGAGGGGAAATTATTTGCGTTGGTCTATATTTTCTGTTTGCCTTTAAGTGGTTTTAGGGCTGAGAAAGGAAGTTTTGCCAGGCAGTTGCAAGGTCTGTGTGTGGGTTTGCATGGCAAGGTTTTAGTAGCAGGAGGGGCTACAGGGGTGGTTTCTGTGAGAAGCTGATAAAAGCTTCCCCTATGTCTGACAGAGCCAACGCCAGCCAGCTCCAAAACAGGCCCACCACTGGCCAAGACTGAGCCCATCAGGAACAGTGGCGGTGCATCTGGAAGAACCTATTTAAGAATGGGGGGCAGGGGGAGGGAAACTGTGTAACTTCAGCTGAAGAGAGAAGTGAGATTATGTGAGGGAAACAGCCCTGCAGACACCAAGGTTAGCGAAGGACGGGATGAGGTGCTTCAGGTATTGGAGCAGATATAACCCTGCAGCCCATAGTGAAGACCATGGTAAGGCAGGCTGTGCCCCTGCAGCCCACGGAGGTCTGGGAACCCAGAAAGAAGGGAGGGGTCAGGGGAAGGTCTTTGAAGATTTGGTTTTGGTTCTCATTATCCTACACCAATTTGATTGGTAATAAATTAATTTCCTCAAGTCAAGTTTGTTTTGCCTGTGACGGTATTTAGTAAGTGATCTCCCTAACCCTATCTTGACTCATGAGCCTGTCATTGTATTTTCTCTCCCCTGTCCAGCTGAGGAGGGGAGTGATAGAGTGGCTTAGGTGGGCACCTGGCGTCCAGCCAGGGTCAATCCACCACTGTGTGCTTAAACCAGAACCTCCACATTCAAATTGGCAACTCACAATTCAAATCTGAACCTATGTTCAACTTCTGCTCTTCCTTCTACTACTGGAATAGGAGGACTAGTAAGTGGAAAGATATTTTGCAGCCCAACAGGTCACATTCAACCTCCACAACTGGTACTATTTCATAGGATCTCTCCTGGGGAAATGTGGCATAATTGCTCCCCTGAACACTCCTCCAGATCTGGATAAGAACTAAACCATCATGCATGCAATTGCTGCTGCCGGTGATCCAGCCCACCATCTAAGACAGCACACCTGATTTTCAGCCGGTCATTCTCCGAGTAAAGCCGAAGGACGTGTTCCCTTTCCTGGAAGAGGTAGACTTGCATATCACTCAAAGCCTTTTGCAACTCTGCAATCTCCTCTTCTCGCTGACGTACCTCCCATTGCAATTTGTGCTGAGTAAAGAGAATGAGGTACTTGAAATGATACAGAGCATTGGGTAACACTTACAAACTTGAAACTGCTTGTGCCCTTAGCCTGTAACTGGTATAGTACAACTGTCAGTTCAAATTAGTTATTCTCTGACAAAATTTGACCAGATGAGGGCAGTATTGGGAAAAATGTTTTTAAATGTTTCAACAGGGAGTTCAGAGACATGAGAATCATTGCCCCTACAAAAAGTCAAAAAAGGCCTAAGCTAGGGTCTCCAGTTTCTAGTGGTTGAACTTCTGCACTGGTGACCACAGTGGCACAGGTATGGGGAGTCTGACATCAACAAAAAAAAACAACATAGTAAAGCCTCTGCAACAGCACTTACTCTTAAAAGAAATTACTGAAGAATAAACAGTAAAATATCTGTAGGGCTTAATAGTGAAAAATCTGGCTACTTACTAGATTTCATTAATGATTTTCTAACTCCTGTGGAAACCTTTGAGAAAACCATTCCCTAGGAGAGAAGGCACTATTTTGGAACCTGCCACTTTTTCCCAGATGTTGAATGAAAGTAACTTGTACGCCTATTATTTCCTGAGGGCTTTCAGGCTGCTTCAAGCATGGCCAGTACTTCAGGCACCGCAGAAGTGATCATTATTTCCAAAGGGCCATTTACAATTACAAAGATGACTCCTAAACAGATGGAGGTTGTAAGGCACATCAGAGAACTGAATATCTTACAGGTATTCTGTAAAGACTTCTTTCTCTTAAAGGCAGACACTTGTAAGTTCTGGAGTTTCTTTTAAATCCACGTTTATCTGCAGTGAAGCATACTGCTTAATAGCCTATGGCCAAGCTTAGTGCAGGAAATAGAAATTATATTCATGTCTCAAGGTCCATTTAATTTGGACAAAAGACCACTCAATCTTCACTATGAGAAACAAGGGAAAAGCCTGACGACATGGGACTGAATACCTAAATTCAGGCTTTAATAAAATAAATAAAAAACCACCAAAAAAACCCAACAAAAACCCCCAAAGAAACAAACAACCCACTGTGAATATAATAACTTAAGAATAGAGGAATATCCTATGGGCATGTTTGTGTTTGGTTTGACAAGAACAGCTAGATTTCACATTCAAACCCTCAAATTTACTTTTTTCCTCCTAGCTCAGTTCTATTGCAATATTGGTAAATCTTAAGACCAGCTGTGCTCAATTTCCAGCTGAAGAAAAATATTAAGTTTGTGTAAGGACACATAGTCCATCATTGTTCAAAACCTCTTTCCTCACCTGCTCATCATACGTTTCTTTGTATCTCTCCAGCCTTTTAACCAAATCCTCATGCTCCCTATCGAAGTCAGCGATCGTCTTGCGGTAGTATTCCAGCAGCTCCCGGGAGGGGCAGAGAAAGGCCAAACGCTCATTGATTGAAGGGAGAGGAGTAAAGTCGTCCTGACTTGGAGACTGAGAGCTAGCATGCCTGGATGAGACACAAGGGGTTGCCAGCCTGGACAGAAACAGTTTCTAATGACATGCAAGCTTCAGACAATAATATGAAAAACCAAACGTTTGTAAAGTAGTTAAAACCAGATTTTCGATTTTAATTCAGGCTTCATTTCCAACACTGATAAGCTTGCCTGCAGTCCAGGTATTAACAGAAGATCACAGCATTTAGGAGAACCAAAAGCTTTGATATAGAGCAGCTTGCACGCTTACTGTACTGTGGAGATGGGGGCAAGTGATGGAAAAGGGTGAAAGAAAAATGTTATAGAAGGAAAATCTCATGTATTATTTGAGAAGAGTGAAGCTGAAAAGGAGGAAGAGAAAGAAAAGAAGAACACAAGAGACCAAAAGTCTATTGCTCTGCAATTAGATGCAGCAGACACTGTAAGAAAAACAGGAAGACATAATCTGTGGCAGAATCATATCTGACAGCCACAGACAAAAACACTTTCTAAAGAAAGGTTGAAGAAAGACCATAATTCAAGGTGTAGGTCTAGGAATTTACATGCTTTCCTTTCTGGTGTACTCGATGTTCTTATCCACATAACTTGTCCACCCTTAGTAGTGAAATAGAAGCTTCCAAGTTCTTGAATCTTATTTTGAGGTACTAGGTGGAAAGCGTATCAAACACAACATAAAGCAAATCAAGAATATGCATGTGTAATTGCATATTAGATTTTTCTTTTAAGCAGTGTTTACCGCATTCAAACATTTCATCTGCTCAAAGAAGCAACAAATTTGCAAATAGAGCTGCTGCAGAGTTCAAAATTCTTTTGGAAATTGTTCATTATTTATGTTTACCTGAACAACACTTTTCTCAATTATACCACAAGTTCACAGAACTAAAGTGAAGAAGCCTCTTTCCTAAACACCTGCTTAACAAAAACACAGTCCAGAACCTGATTCTGGAGCCAGTGCCAGAACTCTGATCATAACGTGATCTGGCAAGTAACACTGCATATCAGTGACCTTTATGTCCTAGCTCACCAAAGCTTCTTACATCAGAACCCCCAGTGTGCTACATCCATGGTAACATGCCAAGCTCCTTAAATCCTGGCACTGTAGGAAAGTATTAAATATGCAATAAGATGATTATTTCCTGTAGGAACTTTCCCATCAGCTCTGCCTACAAGTGCCTTAAACAGCACACTTGGAAGAGTAAATAACAGCAATAGAAGAAAACAGGTAACATCGGCACATGGTAAGTACTTTATTACTGAACTAAAGAACAGTAAAATCACAGAATCAACTAGGTTGGAAAAAACGTCAAGATCATCAAGTCCAACCGTTACGCCAGCACTGCCAAGCCCACCACTGAACCATGTCACTGAGGGCCTCATCTACACGGGTTCTGAACACTTCCAGGTAGTGACTTCACCACCGCCCTGGGCAGCCTGTGCCAATGCCTGACCACCCTTTCCGTGAATAAACTTCTCTTAATATCCAGCCTAAACCTCTCCTGGTGCAGCTTGAGGCCGTTTCCTCTCATCCTGTCACTTGTTACCTGGGAGAACAGACTGAGCCCCACCTCACTACAACGTCCTTTCAGGTAGTTGTGAGAGTGATAAAAGCGGAAAGATATAAGAATAGGGAAGCACAGCAGCTACAGGAGCGATCAACGGCGCTTTACGCCAAGCCTGGCTACCGGACAGAACGGGGAGAGCTGCGGCGCCAGAGCCCGCAGAGGAGTTTGGGGGCGGTGAGCCCGTGGGGCAGCCCCACACTACCTTCCGGGGCGAGGGGAGGTCCCCGCGGCGTGGTCCATCGCGCTCACGTCGCTGCGGCACAGCCGGACTCACCGCGGGCAGGGGACAAAAGCCCCGAGGCCGCCGTG